CGAAATAGCTTAAATCTCATAACATTATTCATTTATTTATATTTATTACTTTTATTATATTGACTTTTCACCCATGCCTGGCTAACAATACAGAAGTTACAATGATGCGGTTCATGTGCACTCATGTTACTGTATCAAATAACATAAAACTGACCTTTGGTCTGTACAAAGTAACTTGTCTTGGCTGTATTTTAGTTGACTAGTATTTTGTAAAATACAGTCACATTTCAATTTTTATACATTATATATGCATATAGATTATTGCTATTTTGAAATAAGTTCTTAAACTTATTTTCCTAAAACATAGAACAATAAACAAAGAAGCCGAGTAAACAATTATCTCTTCTAGTTACAACCTTTGTACTCGGTTGCTAAACCTTTAAAAATTTTGCACGTTGAGGATATGAAACAAAATATTTTTTTTAGGTTTTATATATATATACATTTGAATAACTAAAAAATCATAAATTACTACATCAATACCATAAAATTCCACTATAATTTATCAAGATTAGTAACTAAGCTTTATTTGGGTCTAAAAAAAAATATGAAATTTCGAGCAGACTAAAGACACAACCTACATCATTGAAATTTTGATTCGAAAGAAAGAAATGGCAGAAGGAATGTTAAAAAGCTTGAGAAAACCCCTAGGGAGACATTCTGAGCTTCCGATTGGTTATTCATGTTATATATAGAAGTAAGTGTATATAAGGGAGCATTTCTAAAAATGGAAAGAAGTGGGTGGGGTGCCACTATGTTTGATTTATTATTTGAGCAATATTTTAGCAAATTGAAAAGATAAGAGGCTCATATTTGATATTCTAGCTTGTCAATATTGGTAATTTGAGTTTCTAATTCATATGAAACTACAGACTTAGTATTTTAACTTCTCAAACATCTAATTTGAAACAGTGCTGCATTCAACATACCATGTAACACACAAAAATCGATGTTTATCTGTGTTTTTTAATATTTACTTTTAAATTAACAAATTGAGTAATGTATAGTTCTAAAATTTGAATTATAATCTACAGTTTGATACCAAAGTTATGACATAAATTCATGAAATAGTAATTCAATAAAATTTTTAATGCAAGTCAACAAACGAGATAACATGGCCTTTCACCTGGGACCTGTCTCAAATGTCAGGCATATATCTGCAGAGTTAGTCATTTGTTGTCTGTTTAACCCCTTGTAAATGCCTCTGAATTTTTCATTACATTCTTTTTGCAAACAAAAATATTCTATTTTTTCAAACACTTTTTTACTAAATAACTAAGAACTGCACCTTAAGTCCTAAATCTCTCACATATTTTCAAAAAATTATTTTGAATCTTAGCTGTAGTCACAGCACTTTCCTATCAACAAATATATCTCTATAAAACAACCTTACAACACTATGACCTGATTAAAACTTGTACCTTAACCCAATCTACCTTTTGATCAGAAGTCGGCAAGCCCAGTTGTTTCTGTCGTTCATTATACACGAGTTCCTTCACCTTGGCTTGAGCCTCTTCATCTAAGTCTTCCATAGGGCGACTATTATCAATCTCTTTGAGATCAATCTTTGGCTCATCTTTCAGTAAACTCTCCCAGAAACGTTCCTGAACTTTGTCCAAGTTCACCTGAAAGCCCATAACAGTATCACTCCTTGTTATGACGAGCACAGCACTTTAAATATTTTCATGTCACATGTCTAAATACAGTAGAGACTAAATGTTTAATGTCTTTCACATATCCTTACGTCTTAAAAACAGAGAAATTAGAAATACATCATAACTGTATTTTATATCTGCACAAGCCACAAGAAAATCCTATGTAATCTATATATACCAAACTAACTCAGTAACACTTTCATTTCCACAAAATCTACAAATCAACTAAAAAACAACTGTTGTAAAAAAGATCTATCAATAATCATTTGGTGTAATAAATGACAATACCTTTGGCAGCTTCTAGCAAAAACATAAAACAAAAGCTGAAACCTGGACACCGAGAAACAGAATTTTATATTTCATTTTTAAAATTTCAAGTTCACTTGATCTCAAATTAACATCCCCATGAATTATGAGGCCTATCTTGTGATATACAACTTCTAGTGATGTATACATACTTGGAAAGTATAACCAAAACCTCAACAGTTCCAGATATTCATAATACATCCACATACCCTAATTGGAAAAAATCAGATCAGTGGTTCGTCTTGAAACTGGAAAAACTAAAAAAAAAATAAATCAATGAGGCATGACCAAAACCATGTCAATTCCAAGCATTCACACTATACACCCTTGGCCGTAATTTGAAAAACATATGACAAGGGGTTCTTGAAATTTTCTGAACATACAAAGTTGGTTCTGGAGGAACACACTGACAGAGTACATTTTAAAAACACACCAATCCTAACTTACAAGAAACTCAGTCAACCTGGCATAGAAGTTAACAAAATCTGGATATGTCTCTTGAAAAACAGTCAAATAGTGAAATTTAATAATGTGATCAGCTTTACAGTGGAATATTTTTTTAGATTGTCTAAAGATGTCCTGCTCCTGTGTCACAGTTTTAATACCTTACAAAGATAATAGAAAAATAGTATTTGACTGTAAAGTTGATCATGATATTAAATTGAATCACTGAATGGAATTTTCAGATCTTAATATTCAAAAAGTTACTTGATTCATGTTCTAACGAGTAAGGGGGAGCTCCAGTCGAGTAGACAATGCACCAGACTTCCAGCAGATTAGTAGCCAGAACATACGATAAACCTACTTAGCAATTAGTATCTAGCTATATATACATAAAATTAGTTACTAATCAATAATCACTTAGGTTCATGAGAACTATATTAGATGTCTAGCATTAATCACAAAGTTTAAAGACTGACTTCTTAAACAGAAGTTAGTGGGGGTAATTTTATACACGTACTTACATGAACATGTTCTCCAGGAAATAAAGTCCACACTGAATCCTCTACGTTTATTTTGAAAGACAGTTCACCATCAAACTCAGTGGTCCATCCTTCTTCATTTAAAACATTTACTGTCAGGCTGTTGTGTTTAATGTCAACCTTGACTGACTTTCCCGATATCACATTTTGTGGGACCTGCTCTTAGAGATAAAGACCACTTTCAGATTACTGTATACTAGAATAGAGAGGGAAAATTTTAAAATATACTCTAAGAACATTTTTTTTAAACACACTGACATTCCTAACTTCTTACCGAACAACCCAAGAAACTTGTTTTTTTTCCATACTGTATTTCTATTTGCAACCAAAAAAAAATTATAAATATTAATTATGTTCAGTGAACATAAAGAACTTGCACAATTATGTTGATTAATTTATTAAATCTGATAAACGTCTTAAGGTCAGTAGAGAAAAAACAAAGGAAGCTTGATTATAGTAACAATATATGAATAATCTGTATCCCTGGAATGTTTGTTTTATAATTTTCACACACAGCTAGGTAAAGGGCTATCAGTGTAGAATCATCCCCAACTTTGAACACATAGACCAGAGGAAAGACAGCTATTCAACAGCATCCACCACAAACCCAGTCTTGAAATAGTTAATGAGTACAATGTTGCCAAAGTCACAAAAGTAAGTTGGAACAAGTCATATGCCTTCTGGCTAAACAGTAAAAATCCATTAAATGATCAGTTTGGTCTAAAATGGACCCAGAACCCAGAAAAATCCAGGGTATCTATTATAGCATGCAAAACCCAACAGAATTTAACTGGAATATTTTAACACAAAAACTAAACAAAACAATAGAACAATGGAAAGAGAAAGAATTCTCCCTGCTTGCCTAAACACAAGCTGTCAAACTAGTAGCATGACTAAAACTCACCCTGCTTGCCTAAACACAAGCTGTCAAACTAGTAGCATGACTAAAACTCACTCTGCTTGTCTAATCCAAGCAGAGTGAGTTTTACTCATGCTACTAGTTTGACAGCTTGTTCTAATCACAAGCTGCCAAACTAGTAGCATGACTAAAACTCACCCTGCTTGCCTAAGCACAAGCTGTGAAACTAGTAGCATTAGTAAAACTCATCCCTGCTTGCCTAAGCACAAGCTGTCAAACTAGTAGCATTAGTAAAGTCTTAACAGCCTACAGAGGAAAGTACACCTGTCACCACAATGGCTTTGTCCAGTTCTTTGAATTAAAATAATGTGCCCACAGCTGAAAGTGTAGAATATGTTCAGTGTTTCACAACTTGAACCTTAGATCTTTAAATCTACTGCCCAGCATGTTATTCAAACAACTAAAGAAACACGTGTGCAAGTGCCTCTCTCAAGATGCCTACCAGTTAAATTATCTGGGATACTTTAGGAGCACATGTTAACCTTCCATGCTTCCTCCATTAGTAAATAAATTCAATACAAAATACAATTATTTTTTCAATCTTAATTAATACTTCTTGTAGTTGTATTCACCATTTCCTTTTTAAGTACAATTAGATTATATTCTGGAGTACATGTCTGCCATATTTGATTAACAAAACAGAGAAAAACAAGACTCATACTTCCTGTAAACACCATGCTTGTGTTGTATCATCTAGGCCAGAGTATTTATCACTCCATATGATAATAAAGATTCAAGATTGTTTAACTTCATTTCATTTTTTTTACATCTTTCATTTTGCAATAACATCTTTGTTAGATTCAAACTGATTATGATGTTTAAAGCCACATTTGTGGTTGTCTGGTGGCCATTTCTACAAGTTCTGTCTTGAGCAGGTTAAATTAAGCCATCCACAGCATGCTTTACAAACATATGTAGTTGCCAATCAGTAATATCAAGGTGTAAATAATGCAAAGAAGGCATGAAATTAATTGTCCAACAATACCAATGACATGTCCTGGGCCATCAAGTTTTAACATTAAATCCTGTAATCTTGAACTATGTACTCGCGTATATATACTTAATCAGAAGTTAGAAACAAGCATATAACGTAAATGTGTTCTCACCATTTAAACTGGTGTTTCAGAACTTAGGATAACAAGATTTCTTTTTGAGATCTTTCTCATTCAAACATTGACTAGATACTTTGATGGAAACAGAAAGGTAAAAATAAAGTTTCTTTAGAAAGTATTGAATGCACTTAGTCAGCACAAACAAACAGTAAAATAATGCTATTGAGAAAATCACTCCCAAAGAATAAGACACAAAATAACATTCTAAGTTTATCACAGTGTCACATAAGAAAAAATACTTTCTACAAAGTGATTCTTTTAAGAGAGATGTGAAAGGCATATCGTGTATATCGTCCTTTTTACTTCATTTCTATAAAACATAATTCTTCACTGTGTCTAAATAGCTTGTGTAAACATACTTTCACTCGAACATCCAAATCTTTAATAGTTTGAGCCCAACTGTAATTATTTCTTATGGCACCGTTGTAGCTTTCTGCATTTTTCTGGAAGTCTGCTTGAGTCCTGAAACAAAGTTAGCTTCAATACTACTGTAGAAAAAACAATAAAACATTTACAAATCAATTAAAAACAAACTGGTAATTTAATGTTCTGAATGTATGAAATACTTAAAATAGTTAGTATGGAACATTTTTTATTTCAATGTTATTCTAAATAAACTAACAAAATCCTAAATTTTCTATTCTCTTGAGATAAATTTGTTCATTATATAAGCCTGTAAGCCATTCAATCAGAGATATCAAAGCTCTGATATGGTATTTATATCAATTAACACAAGCTAGGGATTACTATTAATGATTTTTTTAAACAAGTTTTAATGAAAATTAAAATAAAATTAAGAAATTTGAAATTTTGGTCAAAGTTTTTCCCCACTTTTCTATATGTTTTATCAAATACTTTTAATAGAAATTCAGAAGTAAAAATATGGAATTGTTCACATGTAAAATGACGAATTAATATACACTAAACATTCTTATTTTCACATACATTGATAAAAAAACAGTACGAACTTGTCTGACATATGAAAGAAGCGACTATTTTAAAATCTGTAACTGTAAAGTTTTTATGCTTTAAAAATGTTAGTGATAACGTTCAAACTCAAAGAAAACAATTATATCTTCTACATGAAACATTTTTTTACACAGGGATTCTAGAATATAAAAAATATTCTTTATTTATATTGATGGTTTAAAGGTAAATTATTCTTGATAATATTATCATCCTTCTTCCTTCATAAGATGGTTTTATGCTTAACAACATAACTTTAAAGCTTAAACATGTAATAGCACAACATAGGACTGCAGTTTAATAGCAGCTCTAAAAAACAAATATTTTGTTAGAATTATGGCCAACCAAATTTACTTTTTTTGTCCATTATAACCACCTAAGTTATGTAAGTAAGAAAAATAGCTGTTTGAATTATCAAATATTTTGTGAAGCTGTGTACACAGGGTTTATAAAATAAAAAATTGGAAACTACATTAACTGTTATCAGAGTCGACTACAACTGGAATGTTGAGGTAACGGCTTCAATAAATACAGATAAATATTACAACACAAAAGTCAAAAGTAAATCAGAGCTACTTCAGTAAACTTTAAAATAAAATAAAGTTACAAATCATAAAACATATATAAATGAAAAACTCGATGTAAAATAAACACAAACTCAGAGATGAAAACGCATCCTGCTTTTTACTGAATTAAATAAAAACATAAGCTGAAACACATGCTGAAGAAAAACTGGATGTGCAGAAGCCAGACATGAAGTGGGACATGAAGCTATCACCTTTACACAAATTATGGTAAAGGCTATATTTCTAGAAGCCAAGAAACTGGTTTTGAGAAAAGCAAACCAAATATTCAAGAATTCACTGGCTGAAGTTTTCTTGACGAGGTATGACATAAGAATAAGAGCATGTGTGGTAAAATGAAACAAGTTTGGGATGACATTGTTGTAATTTAATTTCTATTTATCTATCTACAAATATAGTGTGTAATTATATACTTGCAAAAATATATCTTTTAAATTAGTTGAAAGTTAGCATGTTCTAGCTTCAAATATTGCTTGTAGAATACAGAGTTTTGATTCTAATTTAAAGTATTTAACTTGTGCTTTGTTACAAGTCTTTGGCTACAATTACAGATCATAATAAACCTTTCAGTTAGTGTTTGAATGATAAGAAAATACAGAGACAAAATAAACATAGTAGGTCATGTAGATTTCTTTACAATTCAAAGTTCTTTTTCTCTGAAGTCTGGATCACTTTTTCTTTGCGAGACTTGACAGCATTTGGCTCCTTCTGAACCTGGAACGACTTGGCTTCACCTTCTTCACTTGTTATAACTTCCACTGTAGCTGCTGGGGGAGGAATTTCACTTTCTAAAGGAAATATACCATTTCTTTATCAGATGGCACAGCTTAATCTTTGAATATTTTTCTTATTCTTTCTGTAAATTAAAAACATTTGATGACCAAAATTTTCTACAATGTTAAATGTTGAAGAAAGATTTTACTAAGGTAAACACATCTCTTATCATTACTGTAAGCAGAATAAAAAAATCACCGACATCATTCACACAAATGTTATTATAAAAACATATTGGAACAATAAATGTGTGATAGCTCTTTCACCCTAGTTTAAAAGAAGTAATTTCATTTATTACTCAAATGGGTTTTTATTGACAGAAAATTATCAAAGTGATAAAATTAAATCTCCAAAACTGGTTTTATCCTTTAAATATTTTTCAAGCCTTCCATTAAATTTAAATTACGAAGGGGCTTGGCATGGCCTGGTGTTTAAAGCGCTCAATTTACAATCTGCGGATCGCCAGATCGAAACCCTGTCACCAAATATGCTCGCTCTTTAGCTGTGCGGACGTTATAATTTGACGGTCAATCCTCCTATTTGTTGGCAAAAGAGTAGTCCAAGAGTTGGTGGTGGGTGGTATTGACTAGTTGTCTTCCCCTTAGACTATCACTGCTAGATTACGGACAGTTGGCGCGAAATTTGAAACAAAACAAACCATTCTAAAAAAATTAAAGTTGTCTTTATGTAACATGACTCCTACCATGGCAAAATTTATTTTCGTGTCCTCTTGTCATGTCATTTTCATCATTAAGTGCGAAGAAAGATGAAACATTGACACTATTTATTTGCTTAATATTCTTAAACGCTTCAATCAGATCTCGTATATCTCTTTTTTTTCTTGAAAAAAAAACATAGTGCAAAAGCTTTTGTTTGTTGTTAAGCACAAAGCTGCATAATGTACTGTCTGTGCTCTATCCACTGTATCAAAACTAAAATTTTATGTTATAATCCTTCATCCTCACTCCCCTCTAGTGGCACAGTGGTATGTGTGTGTGGACTTACAATGCTAGAAACCATGTTTCGATATCCGTGGTGTGCAGAGCAAAGATAGCCCATTGTGTACCTTTGTGCTTAACTTCAAACAAACAAACTAACTCATCCTACTGCTAAGGCATCGGGTTTTTATTTACAGAAAATTATCAAAGTGATAAACTTAAAGACTTGATAAATTAAAACAACTTTTATCACCTGAAGTGGCCAATTCCAATAGATTTTAATTTCAAAGTTTAAAGTAGAAAAACACTTAGAAAAAATGAATAAAAACCTTTTAATACTTGCTTCTTCCTCTTTAGCTGCTGTGCATCATCTTCCATTGACATGTCATAGTATTTCTTAAATGCCTAAAAAAAAACATTTTCAATAAAATATATTGCTTCAGAAACATCATCAACTTTATATTGCAAGTTTCATTCTAAAAGTATGTAACATAAATGTTTTCATTTGTTTTTTTCGTTGTTACACAACGGGCTATTTGTGCTCTGTCCTACCAAGGGTATCAATACCTATGTGGCATTATAAGCCCTTTAGACTTACTGCTAAGACAGAGGATGTTAGGAATATTCCCAATCCCTATCATTCTATGAGAAATACTTGGATTGACCTAAATCATGATTAGTCTTTTGGTAATAAAAGGAACAACTGAGAGAAAAAACATAAAGAACCAGGAAAAAGAGAATATTTTTCAAATGGTTTAATTGAGGTACATTTTGGGTAGGTCAACAGAATAGGAAGGCACCTAAGGATTGGAGAATTTCTGATGTCATTCTTATTTTTCAATGGGGGTGATAAGAGTTGCCCTTGAAATTATAGAAGAATATTATTTTTGTAATGATAAAACTAAAATCGTTTGGTGAAATATAAAATCAAAAAAGAAGATCAATGTGGATTCTCTAAAGAGAAATATAACTTACTAAAATTTTAACTTTTACAAGCATCCTGCATGCAAGCTGAATGATGGAAAGGGTTTGGACTTGTATTTAGATTTTCAAAAAACTTTGACAAGGTGCCACAAAAAAAATTACTTAAAAACTTTACATTGGTGAGGGTTGGGAAAAACTAATAAACTGCATCATAGGACGGTTGGATGAGAAGATGTTTATTGCCGATGGACCCTTACAGGTATCAGGGCCTATGCCTTAGTTTTTCTTATTTATATTAATAATACTAGTAAGATAATAATTAGTATAATTTGCATACATTAAATTCTCTGGCATTTCTATCTTTATTCAGGATGTTGAGGTACTACAGAATAACTTGGACCAATTGATTAGTTGTAAAATCATTTAGCAAACAACCATCAATTATATTACATGAAAGATATTACATCTAGGTTATTTAAAGTGTTTCCTTTACAGACAAATCTCTATAATATGTTACCATAATTTAGATCACATATTTAATATAAATGTAAACCCACTCCATGTATAACTGAAGAAAAAGATCTCAATAAATTGCTGGATAAGTCACTCAAGCCATCAAGGCAAGGCTCTACTGCTGTTAGCAAAGCTAACAGAATTTTAGGGTGCAATTATAAGTCAAAAGAATTAATTATCTCTTTTATACAAATTACAAATTAATTAAATAAAAAAAAACATTTTGGTGTTATGAGGTCATCACAGAGAGGCAGTCTTACGGAAGCTTACAAGATTATCCAGGGGATTAATAGGATAGAGGCCTATGATTTTCTTGATCTATATTCTAAGGCAATGGGACGAGGGAATACTAGTTTAAGATTTAGAATAAATAAGACTAGGTTCCATTTAAGATAGTTCCATTTCATAAAGGGTAATCAGTTTATGAAATGCATTGCCATTTGTAGTAGCAAAAGACAGCATTTTGTAGTTTAAAATGTGAATTGCTAATTATAAGTAATTATACTTGCCACAGGACAATAGTATTAGGTCTAATATAAAACACTGCATTCTATTCTCGTCCCTGTGGAATTTTCAAGAATTAGAAGAGTGTACAATAATAGTATTCCAACCACATTTCCTGAAAAAGAAAGGTTGGATTTAAGTTTTAACTTTATCTCAAGGGTGGGCTATGCAGGAACAGCCCTGAAAGACCAAATGATCTATTGTTGTCCATATATGTTAATATTAATAATCTTTAATACACAGGCTTAAATTAAGCATTATGAAGTTTAAATACATTGTGCTTATAATTAAATCAATAACAGGAAAATTATAACTTTTTTAAATAAAAATTCTGATTGTTATGATGTACCTTTTGCACTATTTTTTCTGCCATTCTCGCAGGAAACCCCATTTTCTCATTTTCATCATGTTGAATTTTATAGAAGTCAGTTCTGAAAACAAAAAAAAAACACAATTAAATATCATGTGTTACTAAACCATTAAGCCCAATTTTTAGAAAAGCCTATCAAATTTATACATTTATGGCTGGACAACTTCTCTGAATCTAAGAGAAAATTTAATTAACTAAAGTTGTTATTAAAGTGCTTATCATACATTCTAGCAAGTGATTTGTTAGGCTGTGTGGTCTACTTAATCTTCAAGTACTTGAAGTGTAAAATATGTAGCAAAGCTTCTAGGTGGCAAAAAATGGTTATGCCATGACTATTAGCAACACATTCCACCACTTTACCTAAATAAACATAAACTCAGGTCATCATCAACAAGACCCAAACATACACAGCAACAATATGAAAAATTAACAATCACGAAGTGTCAAATTTATTCGAATAGGTCCAAAGCAAAAAAAAAACAGCTTATAGAATCAGCAAGGGAAATACAGAGGTAGAGTATAATATATTAACATGATTTTGAATACACATAAACAGCAATTAACGTGACATCACAAGCAATATAGTTGTAGTGGAACAGAATGTATCAGAAGAACATTTTGACATTGTGTATGTAATATGATGCCACCAAAAACTGATTGTCTTTGGGAAGAATATGCAACAGCCCTTTCTGACAAAAGACATTCATACATTCAAATCAGGGACTTAGAATTTCCAAAACAGATAACCCTTGTACTTAATGGCATTGAAAAGTACAGAAATAGGGATGAACTTGGAACACCTGGACATTCCAGAAAGAGACCTGCAATTAAATTTACCATAGCTGTGGTAAGTAAAGACAGAAAAATACATAAACACAAAGGACAGTCGCAAATGCCATTCATTTGCTCTTTACAACAATACACCACATAATCAAAAAGTATGTCCATCTGTAAACTAGACCAATATGTTATCA